TTGGTTTATGTCATTTGATCTTGTATTTAGAGGCCTTGCTGAACTCTCTTGTGAGATGGATGGTTTATGGATCCTGTTTATTTTTTTCAGGTAGATGACACTTTTCCTGTTTAATCTTCTTTCCCCTTATCCGTTTCCTTTTCCTATAGCAATAGCCTGCAGCTCTAATACTATCTTAAGCACTAATGGTGACTGTGAAAATCCATTATTTGAATTTACACTTTTTCCACTACGTAATATTTATAGTAGTCATGGCTATACAGTCTTTACCAAGTTATTTCTTATTATTTTTAGTTTATTAAGGGTTTTTTCTTTTTTTTTTTTAAATATATTTTATTGATTTTTTACAGAGAGGAAGGGAGAGAGACAGAGAGCCAGAAACATCAATGAGAGAGAAACACCGATCAGCTGCCTCCTGCACATCTCCCACTGGAGATGTGCCCGCAACCCAGGTACATGCCCTTGACCGGAATCGAACCTGGGGCCTTTCAGTCCGCAGGCCGACGCTCTATCCACTGAGCCAAACCGGTTTCGGCAAGGGTTTTTTCTTATCATGATAAGTGTGTTAAACTTTTCCAAATGCTACTTCGGCATCTGTTGACGTTTTTCTTGTAGTTGATTAATTTGGTTTCTTTCATAGGTAGATTTTCTGAAGTGGAACAATCCTTTTGGCCCTGGGACAAACCCCCCATGATAATAATATGTCCTTTTTAAACACACTCTTGGTTTCAGTAGCTGATACTTATTTTCATCTTTTACGCCATGCTAATCAGATAAATTAACCCATAATTTAATTTTCTTTTCTTCTCCTTCACTGGTGTTGAGGCTAAGAGGACATTAGCCAATTAAAATGAGCCGGGCAGCTTTTGCTTCTTTGTTATTTTCTGCAACATCTCGGATAACGCATGAACCACATGGTAGCATGCTGGCTGGTGAACACGGAGGTGCCGAGGTGGTGTCGCCAGGAGAGGGCGTGGACGCTGAGCCCTCCCGCTGCCCACGTCTCCCTGTGCCTGGCTTCCCTAGGCCTATCCTCAGTGCATCCTTTAGAATAAACCTTGAAACGAACTTACAGACTTTTCCTGCTAAGACCTCAATCTGGGTTTTAGAAAAGCAGAAATACTGTGAAAGACTGCAATAAGCTAAGGCATACATAATTAAACAACTTTTAGTATTGTCTAGGACAAGGACATGATCTTGCAGACATTGCTAAATCGGGATTTGAAGCTGTTAAGACTGATTCTGCCAAGTAGACAAAGAGCTACTACTGCTAACCCTCCGCCAGCAGAGCATATAAATCCTAAGAGAAACAGGCATTGGCAAATCAACTCAGGCTGTCTCGAAGTCTTAGTGGAAGCATCATTTTTCCTGGCCTTTCAGCAGCCTGCGGATGGCATGGACCTAAAGCTGCCTGGGTATTATACCATCGTGAGAAGCCCAGTGGATTTAAGTGCAATTAAGAGGCGCTTCAGAAAGTATAGCAAGAAGACTTCAATGCGTCGTTCTCAAATTGTTATTTATACAACAAGCCTGGAGATGACAGTGTTCTCATGACACAAGCCCTAGAGAGGCTGTTTACACAGAAATATCACAGATGCCTCGAGAAGAGCACGTTATGGGTGGTAAGGAAAGAATACAGAAAGGCACTCAGCACAAGACAGCAGTTTCTTCTGTTAAAGAAAAAGTCTCCCAACGCCTTAGAAAAGGCATTTAAGCAGCAAGTGAGTCCCTCTGGATTTCCTGAAACATCTACTTCTCCTTTAACTATGGCACAAGGTGCCCCGCCCAAGGCTTCCTCACGCAGTGGCTGGGGCTACAAGCGGTGTGCAGAGGAAATCAGGTACAACTCCTACAACTTCAGTAGTTAAAGCAAGTGGTGAATCTTCTCCAGCACTCATGGGGGGTAGGGAGGGGAGGAGCCCAGAAAAATCTCCTATAAAAGAAACTGCTGAGGAATGTGTTACCAGATTCTCAGCAACAAAATTAAATTGTAAAGAGTGTTAAAGTAACCAAACAGTTAAGGCACTGCGGTGAGATTCTTACAGAAGTGCTTGCAAAGAAGCACTTTTCACATGCCTGGCCCTTGATGTTCATGCACTGGGACTCCATAACTACCATGATATTGTGAAAAATCCAACGGCTCTTGGAACTATCAAGAGAAAAATGGACAACCAAGTATGTAAGGATGCATGTGAATTTGCTGCAGATGCCAGGTTAATGTTTATGAATCGCTGAAGCAGTGACAATGGCAGGAGTGCTCCAGAGGGTTTCTGAAAGGAATTTTGTGGAGATCCCAGATGAACCTGTTGAGAGCATGCCTGTATGTAACATCAAAACAGACACCACAAAATCCCCTGGCAGGGAAGGCGGTGTGAAGTCTGAAGATGCATGAGGTCAGCGCCTTGCAAAATTCCAGGAGCAGCTTAGAGCTGTTCGTCAACAAGTACAGGTTCTGCCCCAAGTGCCTTTCCGGACGCTGAAGAAACGGAATGAGACGTCTGAAAGGGAAAAGGCTAATAGGCAGAGAAGAAAATCCAAGGGAAAAAGTGTAAGCAAATGAAATTAAAGGAAAAGCAATGAGCCAAAGAGAAAACAGCCAGTGTTGGCGCTGAAATCTGATGAAGAGGATACTGAGCTATGAGCTATGGTGAGGAAAGGCAGTTAAGTCTGGATATAAACAAACGCCCTGGAGATAAGCTTGGGAAAGTCGTTCATATCATACCATCAAGAGAGCCTTCACTGAGACCTTCCAACCCGGATGAGGTAGAGACAGGCTCTGAGACCCTGAACACGACGCTGAGAAAACCGGAGAGTAGGTTGCTGGGTGTCTGAGAAAAAGACCACGAAAACCTCGTGATAAGGAAATAATGATGTCCAAGAACTTCATTCCCAGGAAAAAACAGGAGTTGGAAAAGTGATTGCTGGGTGTCAATAATCAGTTAAATTCCAGAAAATGTGAACCCAAATCTGAGAAAGCTCCATCCTCAGAGTCTGAAGAAAGCAGGGTGAGTCAGTGCGTCAGGCACAGTGGTGCCCAATCAGGCCGCGTCCCTTAACTGCACCTCTGGTCCTGGGGAAATTTTTTCTTGTATTATTGAGACATATCTGAAGAAATGTTTGTTATGTACCCAGAACATATGGCTTGGATGCCACACTTATTATTTAATTGCATGTTGATGATCTCACTATTTTCCTTAAGAGATACTGTGTAAAACGAAACTTCATGCCATATGTACATGACTTACTGGCTTGTAATCCTATATAATAAAAGCCTAATATGCTAAGTGCCCGGTCGACCGGCATTTTCTATTGTTTTAGAATTTGTCCACTCCTGGGATTTCAAAGAGTATTCATTCAGGATAGATTTATTTAAAAATCTTTGTAGAATATGTGGCTATTTTCTTCTTTTTCTTCAATTTGATGTTTTATTTATATATTTTATGTTCATCAATCTTGTCAGAGTAGGCCTACCTTATTAAACTTTTCAAAGAACAAGTTGTAAGTTTTCTTCACCTCCACGTTTTAAATCCCTTTCAGTGATTCTCCACCTTCCTCATGCCGCGACCCTTTAATACAGTTCCTCATGTTGTGGTGACCCCCAACCATAAAATTATTTTCGTTGCTACTTCATAACTGTAATTTTGCTACTGTTATGAATTGTAATGTAAATATCTGATATGCAGGATGTATTTAGGCGACCCCTGTGAAAAGGTCGTTTGACCCCAAAGGTGTCGCAACCCACAGGTTGAGAACCGCTGCTTTAGTTGATTTTAGGCCCTCACCATTATTATTTCTCTCTCTTCTATTTATTCAGACTTGTTCTGTTGCTCACTTTCCATCTTCTTAAATTAAGTGCTTAGCTCATTTATTTATATTCTTTTATGTTTCTGACGAATGTATTTAAAGTTGTTAATTTTCCCTCTAAATATTAGCTCTGCCTCATAATTTTTTATATGTAATGTTTATACTATCATGACATATTATTATATACTTAATTATTTATATATAATATATCAATAACTATTATTTTGTTTCAAAACATGCTATTTTAGCTTCAGTTCTATACATTCTCAATTTTATTGCATTATGTTTGGAGAATTTATTTCGTATCATATTAATTCTTTGGAATTTATTTAAGCTTCTTTATTTCCTCATACAAGGTCTACTTTTGTAAATGGTCTCTGTGTATTAAAAAATGTATATGATTTGTTTTTATTTACAGAGTGTTTTATATATGTGTGTACACATGTATATTTATAAATAATGTATTTTATTAAATACTCATAATACATTTATAAGTTGAAAACATTTTAAACATTTAAATAGATATTTTCTATATTTGAAAATAGTATTTATTTTAAGATATAGTTTATTATATACTAGAGGCCCAGTGCATGAAATTCGTGCTGGGGCGGGGAGGGATCCCTTAGCCCCGGCCCGCACCCTCTCCAATCTGGGACCTCTTGCAATCCGGGACCGCTGGCTCCTAACCGCTCACCTGTCTGCCTGCCTGATCGCCGCTAACCTCTTTGCCTGCCTGCCTGATCCCCCTAACTGCCCTCCCCTGCCGGCCTGATCGGCCCTAACTGCCTCTGCCTCTGGCTCCGGCACTGTGGCTTTGTCAGGAAGGATGTCCAGATGGATGTCCAGATGGATATCCAGAAGATGTCTGGTCTAATTAGCATATTACCCTTTTATTAGTATAGATTATAAATATATGTTATAATAAATATAACATTTGCAAGTATTATATAAATATGTATGATACCTGAAATTTATTAATCTTCTGGTTTAGAACTTCAGTTCCTGTTTATTTTTTGCTTCAGTGATCTATATACTCTTTTGAGAGGGATGTGACTCTTCAACTACAATTATTTACTTTTCCTTGCAGTTCTGAGAGTGCAGCTTGGTATATTTTATGGCCATACATGTAGGTACATATATTTATGATGGATCTATTTCCTTATTGAGGTGTGCCTCTTATCAGTACTTATTATAATTCACCTGGCTTGGAGTTTGGAGAAGAAAGGAATTAGGGAGCAAATATCCATGGGCAGTTGGCCATCTATTTCCATCAGTGCTCCACTGCTTTTGCTGCGCCTTATGGCCCCCTGGCGCACCTGTGACCTGGGCTGCTGCAGCCTATTTCTGTGGCGAAGGGGAGGCCATGACAGTCTCAAGGTGCATGACTGCAAGAGTCAAGAGCAGAAATCAAAAGTGTCCTCTCACCTGTTTCTTGCTATGGCTCCAGCCACTGTTTGCCCCAGACATGCCCACCATTCAACACACACCAACACAGCCTCCAGCTCCCACAGTGTTTTGGTTCCATTTGGTCTCATTCCAGAAATCCATGGCTACCCTTTCTATAGTTCCTCCAAAGTTCATGACCTGTATCGTCCTCCCCATTTCTCTCTCCCCAACTTTGCATCTGAGCCCCTGGGGCTTGTCTGCAGCACCCTGGGCCTCAAACATCTTGGAAGAATCTTGGGTTTCTTCTTCATGATTCTGAGGCTGCATGAGCTACCTGGCCATCCCTTCAGGACCCTCCCTCCTGGTGAGACTCCTGACCTACCTGAGTTCAGATCCATTGAGGGACGATGGACCAGAGGTTCCCTCTGGAGAAGTGATCAGAACTGAGAAGGACATAAAAAAAAAAAAAAAAAAACACTGGCTGCTCAGGAGACCAGAATACAGCATGGGATTAACCTCCAAACCCCTGGAAGGACGTATAGAAGAGACAGCACCTTAGGGCCCGGTAGGCCAGGGGTAACTGGGGCTCAGGATCATTACAACCAACTGAAGCCAGGCTGGCACTGGCCCAAAGAGAGGAGTTTCTCCCTGAGCTGGTGGTTAGCAAGGGGCAGAGCTGGGACATGCAGGTACAGGGTCTTTTAGGATAGACTTGCCTCTTGGGACACCCCGCCCATCCACGGCTGCCTTCCTGGTCAGATCACATGGGGCACATTTTCCTCCCTGGGGCTTAAGCCCTGAATCCAGCTTCCCACCAGCCCAGGCCCAGGGGCTCAGCCCCCAGCAGCAGGCCTCCATGGTGCCCCTTCCCTGAGTCTGAGCTTCCCAGGCTACCTGGCCACCCATGTCCTCTCCTTGCACTGAGACCTTTGACCTACCTGTGCTTTCCAAGGGCCAGGTGGTGGTCCCCATCGGAGAAGGGGTCGGGGCTAAAGAGAAAAGAAAGTAGGCAATGACTTTCCGGGGCCAGAAGACAGAATGGGGCCTGGTTCCAAAGCTGTGAGAGGAAGTAGACGACCCAGAGATGGTCCCTCAGGGTCCCTTAGGCCAGGGGTGACTTGTGACTAAGGTCTGTACACCAGAGGTGTTGGTGTGTGTGTGTAAGAAAAAGAGAGTCCTAGAGAGACTCCTGGCCAGTGAGTACTAAGCATCTCTTCCCACCAGTGGGAGCCGGAATGGGCAGAAAGGAACAAAGGCGACAGCCCTTCTCCAGAGACAGGGGGCTCAACCCCCTTGGACATCTGGAGCGGTGTTTCGCCCAGGCCCTGGGAGGGAGGGGCCATTTCCTCAAGAACGGAGCTTACCTGGAGACACCAGCAGGCTGATGTTTCTGAGAACAGTGACGGTGTTTTCAGAAGCGTTGTAGGGTCCACACCAGTAGAACCCGGAGTCCTTCTCAGTCAGCGGAGCCATGCTGATGTTGAAGAAACCAGCATCTGGCACGTCCCAGATCGTGTGTCGAGAATCCTGAGTTACTGCTTTTCGGGGCTCAGAGCTGGTGACTAACCTGGTACAGCGATTTGGAGATGTCTGCCGACACCAGGTTTTCTGCCTGTAGGGTCCTCCCGCGGGAGAGTACTGGCATCGCACGGAGAATGTCTGCCCCGCCACGGCATGGAGCTCCTCAGGCACAACCTGCTGTCCCTGGGAACCTGGAGAACAAGCCCTCGTGTCAGGGCCCTGGCTGGACCCAGCCACCCCCGTCACAGGGTGTGGAAGGAGAGAAGGACCAACTTCTGATGCCCACGCCCAGAAAATGGCCCCCAAAGCCAGCCCCGTGGTCACAGAGCCACCCTGCTCCCTGTCCCCGCTCTCTCCTTTACTTCCTGCATCTCACCTGAGGCCAGGAACACCAGCAGGACAGGTGGCAGAAGGAGGCATGGGGCTCCCCGGGCCATGCCACCCCCAACCTGTTTCTGACGGTGGCGGACAGAAGGAAAGGGGAGGCCTCGGGGGCGAGGGAACCAGACGCGGGACCTAATTCTGCCCCAGCGTCCCAGCGGCTCTGAAATGGGAGAATTGAGAAAGCCCAACACCTTGACTGGGGAAGTGGTTGGCCCGAGAGGCAGGCTCTGTGGGCGAGGGGAGGGAGGAGCAGCCAGGCCTGGGTCGGGGGGCCACCAGCTGAGGGTGTCTCTGGCCTGGAGACCTCAGTTCTGACTCAGTTGCTTATTTTTGCCTAACTTCTCCCCATCTTTACCGCTCCACACTGTCCACCTAGCACACTCCTTCGTTGTTGCTGGTGGAACTACTGCGAATGTCCAAGAAGAAACCATGGTGCAAGAGAAACTGTTCCTCTTTTCTGTCTCCCTGTGCAGCCTATGAATAGTTGGGGGCCCTTGGTGCCTGACCGCAGTCCTGAATCCCTCTGGTACCCAGGGTAAGACAGGGACCCCCCTCCCAGGCAAGGTAGGTCAGTAATGTGCTTTTACTCTAGGAGGTTGGGGAGGGCAGGGTTCAATTCCAGGGACTGTAAGGATGGTCCCTGGGAAAGGTGGGGTCCAGGGGAGGTGGGAGGGAGGAAAGGGAACCTTGAATGGGGATTCTCAGAGGGGAGGGCAGGAAGCAGCGGGTCAGTTGGGTTATGGGAGGAGGAGGCAGGGAAGGGGGCTCGACGTCATGTCCATATCTTCAGTTCTCACTCCCTAATGGTGCTCAATCAATTGGTGATGATTAAAGGCATTTGTGAGTGGGGGGAAAGAGGAAACATCTTTTTGTTTTAATAATGTGTGTGTAGCCCTAACTGGTTTGGCTCAGTGGATAGAGCGTCGGCCTGCGGACTGAAGGGTCCCAGGTTCGATTGCAGTCAAGGGCATGTAGCTTTGTTACGGGCACATCCCCAGTAGGAGGTGTGCAGGAGGCAGCTGATCGAGGTTTCGCTCTCATGGATGTTTCTAACTCTTTATCCCTCTCCCTTTCTCTCTGTAAAAAATCAATAAAACATATTTTAAAAAAATAAAAAATACACAGCCGATTCTTAAAAGATAATAATAATAATGTGTGTGTAAAAATGTATAGAGGGGAAAAAATGGCCAAATTGGAACAGCCTGAACAACAAAATAAAGTGGCTTTGAATTATAACCCAAAATATAAAGTAAATACTCATGAGTTTGTACGAATATAAGTAAATGATTGAATAAATAAGTGGGGAGAATAGACAAATCTCCCATGCAAAAGAATCCCAATAATTTATGTTGACACTCGGCCCTTAAAGAGGGGCAGCGTAACTCCCCCTCCCTTAAGTATGGGCTGTCCTTAGTGACTTCCCTCCAAAGAACACGGAGTGGAAGTGGGGTAAGAGTAGCTCACAGTGGGAAAACCTGGCACCAGTTCAGCCTGGTGATCAAGGGTAAGACCAACAGTGATCATTGTGTTGATAGCATGTACCCCTGCTAGGATGTGATGAGAGTGGCACTTTACTCTTTGATCTTCCTCCCCCAAGCCCCTAAGCCTAAGAGAAAAAAACATCAAACAAATGAGGTGCATTACAAAATACCTGACCAGTACTCCTCAGAACTGTCAAAGTCATCAAAAATAAGGAAATTCGCCCAGCTGGTGTGGCTTGGTGGCTGAGCCTCAAACCAGGAACCAGGGGGTCAAGGTTCGATTCCTGGTCAGGGCACCTGCATGGGTTGTGGGCTCGATCCCCAGTAGGGGGCGTGCAGGAGGCAGCTGATCAATGATTCTCTGTCATCATTGATGTTTCTATCCCTCTCCCTTCCTCTCTCTGAAATTAAATAAATAAATAAATAAATAAATAAATAAATAAAAAGGAAATTCTGAGAAACTGGGATAGTCGAGGGGGGCCTAAAGAGAGATGACGACCAAATGTCACCAGATATCCTGGATGGGATTCTGGGACAGAAAAAGGACATTAGGTAAAAGTTAAGGAAATCTGAATGAGGTATATGTCATGATTGATTGATTGATTGATTGATTGTGACAATATGCCATGTTCATGTAAGATATTACTAAGAGTGGAAACTGGGTATCTGGAAACTCCCTTTAATAACCTCGTTACTTTTCTGAAATCTAAACCTATTCTAAAATTTTTAAAAATGTAGACAGACTATTTGTACAAAACCTGTTTGTAAATAGTCGATAACTAACAACAAAAAAAGGAAGTATTGTATAAGAATGTAGTTTGGTTGGGCATAAAGAATACTGATCGCAGCCCTGGCCAGTTTGGCTCAATGGTTGGAGCATCGGCCTGCCTACCTAAGGGTCACAGGTTCGATTCCCGGTCAAAGGCCCATACCTCGGTTACAGGTTCCCCAGCCCTGGTCTGCGCATGCAGGAGGCAACCGGTGTTTCCCTCTCTCTATCTCTCCCCTCCTCTCCCTCTCTCCCACTCCCTCTAGAAATCAATGAAAAAAAAATCCTCGGGTGAAGATTAAAAACAAAACAATAAAAGAACCTGATTGCAGCCGTGTAAGTGCCTCGTTAGCGAAGGCCCGCTTGCTGCGCTGCACACAGACTACAGGGGTATCCCTGCGGGTGTGGGATTCAGCCGCCGGCTTCCCAGCTGCTTGGAACCTCGCTCTCCTTCCGCGTGATCAGTCTTCAGAGCATCCTGTTCGGGAGGGATTGCTTCACCTCCCTAAATGAACGGACACTCCCCTCTGCTCGGGACCCCATCTGTCCCTGAACCTCCCTGCCCTGGTCCTGCCCTACACCTGGGCCCTGGGAGCCCCAGGGAGGAGGGTGGCCACAGGAGACAGGAGGTGGGGAGCTGGAGTTTCTGAGGTCAATGACCAGAAGGTCTGGAACCCAAGCTGTCACTAGGCACCAGGACGCTGCCGGGTTAGAGGGGGAATGGGGAGGGGTCTGCAGCTGCTGCCTGTTGGTGACACTGTGTCCTGGCCATGGAGCTCAGGCGAGTGCTCCGCTACCCTGACCTACCCGGACGTCTTGGCTCCGTCAGAGGCCCCGGCCTGAGTCCAGACCCCTCCATCTGTACCCACCCAATGAGTCCCCACATGGCTCCACCCCTGACTGCCATTGGGGTTCTGCCTCAGACTGTGCTGGAGCGTGTCCCTTCCCCAGCCCCTGAAATGCCTCCAGGGCCCGCTCCCCAGTGAGTCCCACGGTGTGGAGCCACAAGGGGGCTCCTCTAGAAGCTGGTGCAGAGGACTGGAGTGTGCAGCCACCCCCCACTCCACCTTCCCCGGCACAACCCCCACCACCACCCCGTCATGGGTGCGCAGCGCCTGGCTGCACTCTAAGGCCCTGATCTGGCGCTGTTTTGTCACTGCCCTATTGTGGACCCTCTGTTCCTCTCCGGATAGACTGTGAGAGCCGGGCTGGCTGTCTCATTCAGTGTGTGAGCCCCGCCTTGTCAACCCTATAGGGTGTGAGCCCTGCCTTGTCAACCCTACACCCGGCAGCGCTGTCTGCACATGCTCCTTGGTCTGATGGGGAGGGGGCCCAGAGTGCATCTCCAGCTCTAGCGTTTCTCCTTGTGGAGGCTGAGCTGCATTGAAGACCGGGGCCTTGTCCGGGGTTTCACAGAGATGTCATAGCTGAGGTGAGCATTTGAATTCTGCCTTCAACACACCTCCAGGCTTTGCCCACTGCGGAGCAGCTCCCAGCCACCCCAGCTCCCTCATCCATCCCTATGGGCCGAACTTGCCCTTGCCAAGGCCCAAGGACAAGGCGGCAGCAGAGGAGACTCCAGAAAAAAGGCAAAAGGACTGAGGCACCAAAATAACTGAGCCCTTTCTTTCTTTTTGTTTTCTTCTTTTTTTAAAATATATTTTTATTGATTTCAGAGAGGAAGGGGAAGGGAGAGAGAGAGAGAAACATCTATGGTGAGAGAGAATCATTGACCGGCTGCCTCCTGCACGCCTCCTACTGGGGATCAAGCCCGAAAACCGTGCATATACCCTGACCAGGAATCAAAAGGTGACGTCCAGGTTGACCACTGAGCCACACCGGCCGGCCATGGGCCCTTTCTTTGAGAAAGGAATATTTAAAAATCAGAAATGTGATTCTCTCTTTAAGAGGAAAACCTGCTTTAAATAAATGGGAACTATAAGTCAAACTACCCAGTTGTAAAAGTACCGTGTGCTCTAAAAAGTTTTCATCGGCGTTGAGAATCTAAGTTTATACAGGAACTGAAAGCTTTGCCAGCTGACCAGATAAGGCATGAGAATATCTCTGCACATTGGCTAAAGGACAATATTCAAAATAGGACTGTCGAACGCTGGCTTCCCAACACGACCTATTGCTAGGAGAAAGCTCTGTTTCTGATATTTGGGAAGCCAGCGTTAGACAATGTAGGTAGACCATCCATGTTCCCTTTACGACTTATGTTCTGGGATGTTTTTAAAGCGTCCTTCCCAATCTGAAGCACAATCATGTTTTGAATATTGTACTTTTGACAATGGACAAAGATGCAGTTTTGACATCCACAACCACAACGCAGAAATCGGCGCCCTCGGAGAGGGCGGGGTTTTGTGAAAGTTCACCTGTCATCCAGAGCTGCGTCATCTGATAGGTTAGCCATTAAACACGTGCCTATTACATTAGAGTCTATTAAAACCCCCTGAGAAAGATTCAGGTCCTCGGTCGCACTGGCCACGCGCAAGATGCTCACGGCCTCCCGTGGCGGGTGGCTGCTGTGTTGGACTGGATGATGCAGGACATTTCCATCTTCCCAGGAAGTTCTGTCTGAGGGCACTGCTTTCTAGCTTGTTGTTTCAATACAGCTGGTGGGCTAGCACAGCTTTCAGTTCCTTGTTATAAATTTAGCTTCTTAAGAATACCGATGAAGACTTCTTATATGGAGTAAAGAAATGTTGAAATGAATTACATGGGGAGACTCACCAGTGTGGGGTTTTCATCCCTCCCACAATAGAGGAAGAAAGACAGAATTTGTATGTCTATCAATTACCTA